TGTAGAAAAGGCATGCATTAGATAGAGTGAGTGTCCCTTGCCCTGTCAGAGGCAGTAAGGTGGTGACCCAGTGGGGCGGGGTCACCCTTGTGGGGAATCAGCCGAGGACATGAGGCTCTAGGAGAGAGATGACAGAACAGGTGTCGGATGATGTAGTTGGAGGAGGCAGGAGTCTGTAGGCAAGTCCTTATGAGATGAGCAAGCCCAGTGGTCTCGTGAAAATGAGAGCAGAAGGTGAGGAAGTGTCCCGAACACCCAGGTCAAGGATGGGCTGCCCACTATTCTGGAGGAAAGTCCCGCCCTCACTCTGGGACACAGTTCCCCAAAGCGTGTCAGAGTGTTTCTGCCGCAGGGGGCCAATCTCAGTCAACCTTCTGAAGCCATGTACCCGGTTCCTCGCCCAGGGTCATGAACTGCCTGTTTTTTTAGCTTCTCAGACCTCCACTGAGAATAGCAATTGGAAGGGGCTCACCCGCTGAAGCCATGGGACTATTGAGGGGAGAGGGGGAAGAAAGCCAAGGAACAAGGAGTGATCTTTGAAAAGACCTGGGTCAAGCTTGACAGACCGTCCCCCCCCCCCCCCCCCCCCCCCGTTCCCCCGTCCAGATCATCAGTGAGGAGAGGTTTCGGCAGCTGGAGAAGATCAAGACAATCGGCAGCACCTATATGGCTGCCTCCGGGCTAAATGCCAGCACCTATGATCAGGTGGGCCGCTCCCACATCACCGCCCTGGCAGACTACGCCATGCGGCTCATGGAGCAGATGAAACATATCAACGAACACTCTTTCAACAATTTCCAGATGAAGATTGGTGAGGGCCTGGGTCTTGCCACGTTTTTCTGGGGGCGGTTTGTGGGTAAAGCTGAAGGTATAGGGTCACAGGTTTGTCATCAGGACTTCTTTGGGTTTCTGCCTCCCACCTTCATGTCAAGTTTGAAGCTAAGGACAAAGGCCATTTGTTTTGAGTCTTCTTTCATGTTCTGGGGTCTTGCCCTAGATATTTTGAGAACATTTTAATTCTCACATTAAGAACCCCCCTCCGCCCCAAGATGAGACTGATGTTCAGAGATTAACTCAGCGAAGGCTGGAGGATTAGTAGGCGGGTTTGTCTAAAGGCCACTGCCTGGTATCTGTGTGTGGTCAGTGTGATAGAGGCACTTCTCAAATGGTGGAAGGCAGTGATTAATAGCATAGGTCTGGAGTCTGGCTTGACTTCCCACAGGTCTCTTTACTGGCTCAGGAAGTTACCCCAATATCTTGTCTGTAAGATAGGAGTGGCAGCAATATGAGCCCTGAATGCACAGGCATGCACTCAGCCTGTGTGAGACAGCATGGACTGCTTGTACTCTGGGGAGCTACCTCAGCTGTCACGCCAAGACATTTTTTTTTTTAAACCACCAGAAGAGTTGTCCCCTTTCCACATTTTTCCCCCTTTGGGTCCTTCTCAAGGTGTGAGGGAAGATGAGTCGTGGGAGTGGCCCTGGATCATCCTAACCTCAATCTCTGGCTCTGCTTTTGCGATTATCTCTACTTCAGGGTTGAACATGGGTCCAGTTGTGGCAGGTGTCATTGGGGCCCGGAAGCCACAGTATGACATCTGGGGAAATACAGTGAATGTCTCCAGTCGAATGGACAGCACAGGGGTTCCTGACCGAATACAGGTGAGGGCCGGGTGGCTGTCTTCTATGGCTGTTGGGTCAGGGATTGGGGGAGGGGAGCTAGCTCGATAGAGAACTCTATTGAGCTTCTTACCAATACATCATTGAAGATCCCAGGCTAAGCAGACTTCCTTCCCACTTCCCCAGGTGACCACGGACCTATACCAGGTTCTAGCTGCCAAGGGCTACCAACTGGAGTGTCGAGGGGTGGTCAAGGTGAAGGGCAAAGGGGAGATGACCACCTACTTCCTCAATGGGGGCCCCAGCAGCTAGCAGAGTGCAGCTGAGATTCAGCTGAAGGGACCAAGGTGGGCATTGAGTGGACTTCCTGCTCACTGGGTGGAGCTGCTGCAGGGGCCACTGGGCCTCCAGATCTTGCTGACAGCAAAAGGGACCACCCCAGCAGGCTGTGCTTGGACCATGTTCGTCTGCCTTCAAAATGGAGAAGGAGGAGACGCCAAGAGGATTATCCAAGTGACTTTCTCAACTGGGGTAGGGGCTGTTCGCTCTCCTCATTTTTGGAAGCAGATGGGAGGGCAGCAGCAGAGGCCACAGAGCCCTCCTGTCTGAGAGAGTCAAATGGCAACTCACTATGCCTACTGTGCCCCTGTTTGGGCGACAGGCTCAGGGCTGGGTCATTCCTTTCTCTATTTTTCCTGGGACTATTTTGTACAAAGACTGGGGCGGGCATGAGGAATGCCTATTCCACGCTTGCCTTTGCCTGACTGTGTCCTCAGCACCGGTCCTGGGCACTCCCAACCCCAGCCAAGTTTCCTTCCTAGGCACAAAGCAGAGGAAGGGGGTACTGTGGGGACCTAGCTCTGACCACATTTCAGGGGAATGTTTCCATTTGCCAAACCCTAGTCCCATGATCTGTCCCCAAAGGGGAACAAAGGGACCTCTGATAGCGCAGATTGAGCCCCAGTTCCTGCACGCTCCAGGGAAAGGGGTGTCTGGCCTCATTGGTACTGTGAAAATGACCAGCCAGAGAGCAAACCTGTGTATGGGGACATCAGAAGATCAGGAACTAGACGTTCACCTGCAGGTGCCGAAGAGTGCAGGCGGCCAGGGAGGAGGATGGCCACACTGACCTGAGGTTCCAGTGTGGCCAGGTCAGCGCCCTTGGCCCAAATGCTCGCTTGCTGTCTGCTGGCAAGGGGGCATGGAGCATCTCTACACCTTGTATTGCCAAATAGAAAAGAGTCAGGGTTCCAAGAAAGATGACCCTGACCCCAAACCTGGCCTCCTAAGTCTGGCACTAGGGAGGGCCTGTGCACTTGTGTAACTGTGTGTGCATGTTGCTTTTCGTGTGTGTATGTTTTCTCGGTCTCTGTGTGTCCGTGCGCTCCAGCCCATCAGCTCCCTACTTGGGACTGCCTCTCTTTTGGGGGCCTCTGCCTTCTGTTGTTAAGGTAGGGCTTTCTGTTTCAAGGGATGGAGAGAAATGCCCAGGTTGCACAGGAGTGGGATGGGGTTTGGGAACAAAATGAAGAGTGGTCTGGGGAGAGGAGTCCTTGTTGTGCCAAATCCCTAAGTGCCATTTGGGGGCCACATGCGCAGTATGACTGTCTCCCTGCTGCCTAGTGCAGGGGCCCCAAGCACCTGCTTAATCTCTAGTGTTCCTTGCACTTGAACTGTTGAAGGTTTGTGAGGCGGAGGCTCAGGCACTCCCTGGGTACCTCAGCTTGTCTCTTGGGGTATGCTATACTTTCTTACTGGGGTAGTGTGGGATCGATTCCTCTGAGGACCCAGATTTTGGTACTAGAGGATGGAGCCTGGGAAATTTAATCTTGGCTTTCCCAAGCCTTCAGCCTGAATCTAGCATGGCTAGACTCTAGTCCTGGCTCCCAATCCTCATGCAACCTACAAAGATTGTGCTCTGTTCTCTTCCTGTCCCTGCCTTCCTTTTATCCCTGCAGCCTCCTTGACTCTGGGCTGAATTAGTTGGTGCCTTGGTTTGTCTGTCTGCACCTATTTTAAGCCAGAGGCATAGGCCTCAGTTTCGATTGAAGATCACTTTGTCTTAGACACTGACAAGGAGAAAGGGTTCCATGGGGGGATGGGAGGGGCGGGCAGTACTCTTGCCCTGCCTCATGCTTCTGCCACCAGTCCTCTGCAGAGGCCTGGTTTCTGGCTTGGTACCGCCTTCCTGAAGATCTCCATATTCCAGCTGATGGATCACTGGGCGCTTGATTAGCCAAGGCAGGGAAGAGGAAAGATTAGCTGATCTAGGCAGAGGATTCCTCCATCTCCCCCAGCTATATCCCTGGATAGGAAGGATGCCATTGGAGTGGGACTGAGTAAGCCAGAATGGGAAAACCTCAGCTTTGGGTGATCTGTCTGCTTCTTGCCAGGTGGGAGGGGGCCTGTCCACACCCTGGCTTCCTGTACCACAGTGCCAGCCATGTCCTTCCCCTGAGTTACCGTTGCCCTTCTCCTCACTGGTTGGTGAAAGAGTTGGGATAACGGGAGGCCATGGGCTTTGGTTTTATAATGTAACCACTGTGGGAGTGGGGGAGGATGGTGTACCATGTATTTCAGTGAAATATTTAATATATTTAAATATCAATAAAATCAAACTCTTTGTAAAAAAAAATATATGCCCTGTTCTCTGCAGCTCTTTGGGCACTGGGTTGGGGTCAGAAGTGACAAAGCTTGATACAGCTACCCAAGTCTTAGGCCTCTCTCATCTGTGAACTAATGACTTCCCATGGTTTTCTGCTTGTCAGGATGAAGCTGCAATGTCTTCAGAGAGTGTGGCCACTTAAGGCTTTTCACATGAGGACGTGTGTCTTCCCAGATGTTTACTCTGACCCCATCATGCATTCGACATGTCTTCCCAGATGTTGACCCTGACCCCCGTCATGTATTAGCTGTGTCTTCCCAGATGTTGACTGACCCCATCATGCATTAGATGTGTCTTCCCAGATGTTGACTCTGACCCCATCATGCATTCGACATGTATTCCCAGATGTTGACTCTGACCTCTGTCATGCATTAGATCTGTCTTCCCAGATGTTGACTGACCCCATCATGCATTAGATCTGTCTTCCCAGATGTTGACTCTGACCCCGTCATGCATTAGTGTGTCTTCCCAGATGTTGACTCTGACCCTGTCATGCATAAGATGTGTCTTCCCAGACGTTGACTCTGACCCCTCTCATGCACTGGGTCAAGACCTCTGTGGTTGTTCTCAGTGCTCCAGACCCCTCACCCCTCTCATGCCAAGATCTGACCTCGTCAGGAATCTCACATACCTGCTCTCAAGGAGTCAGGGACCGTAGGATGACTTCACTACCTCCCACACCCAGTGTGAAGAAATGCCTTTTAGTTCAGTTTGTTTATTTCGCTTCCCCTACCCCTCGATTCCCCCTTCTCGTCTCCATCTGAAGACTTGGCCACCTTGACCCCTCTTTGCCCTCCCTCCAGTTTTCGTCTTGTCCTGCAAGCGTGTCCTCCTTAATACGGAGTGAAGATTTTGTCATTGAGAATAGAATGATCCATATATCTGGAAAAGAGAGAATGTCTCAAGATTCAATCAGGTCAGGCTAAAGGGAAGGGAGCATCCTTAACAATGGTCCTCATGGCTGCCTCTGTGCAGATGGGCGGGGGTGATGAGGTAGAGGTGCTGAGGAGGATGCTGGTTGGAGTAGACCTCTTCAAGAACCCACAGGAATGCTAGAGACATTGATTCTGTGCCTGTTCAGAATCTCACCCATAAAACAAAGTAGACAGATCTCAAATTACTGTGTGGAGACCACACTGCCCAGGATCTGAGGTCCACTCTCCCTGATAGGACTCAAACTTCTTCTATCCGCTGATTCTGAGACAGGGTCTCTCTATGTAGTTCTGGCTTTCCTAAAACTCTATATAGATCAGGCTGGGCTTGAGCTCCCAGCTCACAGAGATCCACTTGCCTTTGCCTCCTGAGGGCTAGGATTAAAGGTGTGCATCACTACACCCAGCTTAAGTGGAGCTTAACTATAGGTTTCACTGTGAGGAGAAAGAACTTCCCCAGGCCTCTCCACCCCCCCCCCACCGACCCTTCTCAGCCTAACCTGGTCATTGGGCTTTTAATAAGACAATGGCGTGGACTCTGGATCCATGGTATGGTTTTCTCTGGACGCACGCTTGAATGGTCGGTCCACCAGAAGCTGAAGTTCTGAGCGTCGGTCACTGGGACTCGAAAGACCTGATTGGGGACTGGTTGAGTTGAAAGAAAGGCAGGTAATTGAATTTCGCCAGATTCCCTTGTATTTTCTGTCTCCGGATAAAAAGCACAGTCCAGAAACTTGCTGTGACCAGTGAGAGAGGTCCTGGGAAGGTGTTCACTACACCCTACCTCCCTTCCGGATTCCAGCATCTCACATACTTCCTGGTCAGATGGCTTAATCTTGGTGTTTCCTGCTGCTAAGTAAACCTGTCTCTAAGATGTGCCAAGATGGAAAATAAATAGTCAGCCCATTGGGAAGTGTACAAGAGAGGTCTACTGACTCAAGTGGTGAAGTTTTGGTGTTTTGAGACAGGGTTTCTGGGTGTCACATCCCTGTCTGTCCTGGAACTCACTCTGTAGACCAGGCAGGTCTTGAACTCACAAAGATTTGCCTGCCTCTGCCTCCTGAGTGTGCCACCACTGCGTGATTCAAGGACCTTTTTTGAATTGTCCTCTCCCATTTCATTTCCCTGGTCTGAAATAATGCTTTCCATTGCTCACTCCAGGGAATTCCCTGAAACTAACCAATGGTACCACTCCACTTTGAGATGCTACACACAGGTGTTATCAAGTTCCTGTTGCTCAAAGTTTGGTGGAAGGTTTGTGTGTGTGGAGGTGCAGCTGTGCAGGTGTAGAAGGTGCTTGTGTGTGTGAAGGCACAGCTGTGCATGTGTAGAAGGTGTTTGTGTGTGTGGAGGTGCAGATGTGCAGGTGTAGAAGGTGTTTGTGTGTGTGGAGGTGCAGATGTGCAGGTGTAGAAGGTGCTTGTGTGTGTGAAGGCACAGGTCTGCAGGTGTAGAAGGTGCTTGTGTCTGTGAAGGTGCACCTAAACAGCTACATGTGTATATGTACATGTGTACCTACAGGTATATGTGGGGAGGGGCAGAGGTTCCCAAGAAGCTATCCAGAAAAGTCCATCACTAGGTCCTGGGGCTCAATGATTAGGCCAAGATGGCTGGGCAGCCAACCGGCCCCCAGAGGTACACCTGTGCCCTCCACAGCTCTGGAGTCGTGAGTGTATACTTCCGAGCCTGGCTTTTTACATAGCTGTTGGGGATTAAATGCGGGTCCTTATGCTTGCAATATAAACTGAGCTATCTTCTGAAGTGTGTGTGCACGGGTGTGCAGGTGTGCTCACTCCTTCCTGTCTGTGCACGTGAGATCAGAGGTGATATTCAGTGTCTTCCTCTGTTGCTTTCTATCTGATGTTTTTATAATTATTTAGTTATTTTGGTTTTTGAAATAGGATCCATTTACATGACCCTGGTTGTCCTGGAACTTACTATGTAGACCAGGCTGGCCTCAGACTCACAGAGATCCTCCTGCCTCTGCTTCCTGGATGCTGGAACTAAAGACGTGCTGCCATGCTCCGCCAACTTTTTTTGTTTTGTTTTGTTTTGTTTTCTGAAACAAGGTTTCTTTGTAGCTTTGGAGCCTGTCCTGGATCTAGCTCTTGTAGACCAGGCTGGCCTCGAACTCACAGAGATTCGCCTGCCTCTGCCTCCTAAGTGCTGGGATTAAAACCGTGTGCCACCATTGCCAGGCCAATTTTCATATTTTTAAGATCAAATTATGGCCTATTATTTTCTGATTTTCTCTGTAGTCTTGAGAATTTTTTAAATCCTTAATTGATTAAATGTTACACTTTTACCTAGTTGTTTTTCTATTAGTTAATAATAAACTTTAAATTATTTTTTGCTATTAGAAATAACTTAAGTGCCCCTTTCCTTATCTTGCCTATTTTGATCTCTAATTTTTTTACTTTAATTTTGACCTAACCTGTGGCACAGGCCTCTAATCTCCATTACCTGGAAGGCTGAAGGAGGACCACAAGTTCAAGCCTGAACAATTTAGTGGAAGCCCATCTCAAAATAAGAACACAGAGAAAGAGTGATGACAGAGCCAGTGGTGGAGTGAAATGCATCGAAAGACTCCGGTCAATCCCCACTTCCAGGGTGGGGTACGGATTTCAAGTAATCACAGAGTCCCGGAGATATAAGAGACACTACTGGGAGAGTCCCTGACTCATAGTGGTGACATCATAGGACCCTGCTGCAACTGGAACATTAATATACAAAGACAATACAAGATAATTCCAAGCTGTCTTGGAATTGTAAGATAGTCCCCAAACATCCAGAGTTGCCATTCTGTAGCCTCTAGTACAGTGATCTGCTCATTTCTGTACACTTGTCATGATAAGAGTATTAGATAAATGGAATACGGATTGTGACTGTTTTTCTAATGAAACAGAATTGGCATTGACTAAACGAGGAGGGAAACATGTGAGGGAAGGAGGTTGAGTACAGCTTGAGGAATGGCTTTGTGTCTGCACGTGTGTCTGTCGAGTGTTTGCCACACGTGGGAGGCTGTGGAGGCCAGAAGAGAGTGTCAGATCTCCTGGGGCTGGCTTTGTGTGTGCACCCATGTCTGTGAAGTGTTTGCCACATGTGGGAGGCTGTGGAGGCCAGAGGAGAGTGTCAGATCCCTGGGGATGGCTTTGTGTCTGCACGTGTGTCTGTGGAGGGTTTGCCACACGTGGGAGTCTGTGGAGGCCAGAGGAGAGTGTCAGATCCCTGGGGATGGCTTTCCAGGCAGTTGTGAGCTGTTGTGTGGGTGCTGGGAACTGAACTTGGGGCCTGTGGAAGAGCAGCAAGCGCTCTTCACCATGGGGTCATCTCTCCAGCTCCAAGAACGGCTTTCTTTAGAGAACACAATTCCCCAAAAGTTCCTACATCATACTGTGTGCATTGACAGTCTGTCCTACTTGCTTTTCTGGACAAAGTTAAAGAGCTCCCATTTTCAAGTGGCTGGGAGAGGTTCAATGGCCAAAGGAATGTCCCCAAGGTCACCCAACTTGTTTGGTGTCTAAGCTCAGTTCAAATTACTGTTGCTGGCTCTACTCCTCAGCGGGTGCAGTGTGACAATACACCAAATTCTTCCACTGTTTCAGTTTTGTGTCCTTGTCACGACATTTCTGGGAGTATATAAAACAGTACAACATCCTCTGTCCCCATAACCATGTGACATCCTTGTCATTCTCTAGGTGCCCAGACTCATTCTTGTTTCCCTTGCCAAGGTACTCACATGTTTTTAACAACGCCTTTCGTACGGCTTCCTGATAGCGCATGTGGCTATTCCGGTGTACGGAGTAATTACCGTCTTCTGAGGTAATCGGTGGAAACCTCGAGGACCCTGCATCCTTCTTGTCTGAAATGAGAAGGCTCATTTTGAGTACTTGGCAAATGGGGCTACTTTATTCTTTGATTTCCTGGTCTCCATGCCAACAGGGTACATAGCAGGGATCTTTCCTAGCTCCTGACATTCAATTCTCAGCATCCCAGGAGTCAAGTTATCAAGCCAGAGATAGAGGGGAAGGAGGAAGAACTCAGTGTTCACAAGAATCCCTCACCCCTCCTCTCTGACTCCCAGATTTTGATTGGCTTCCCACTAGCCTCAGGGTTCTGGATAGATATTTAGGACTAGTGCAGGTGAAAACAAAAATGGTCTCTAATCTGGATGTAGACTCTCCCGAGACTGGTTTGAAAGGGGAAATTATTGTTAAATCCTAGTGGATTAGTAATTACTGGGCCTAAGCAGAATCAGGAAGATACTTCAGGCTGCAGGATGGCAAATGCTTCAGAAGTGTTGGAGAACGAGGATGCTTTCTGTCAGCGAGAAGAACCTGGAGTGTTAGGTGATGCAGAGAAGGATGGGTGGAGGGGTGGGGTCTGGGAAGGCCGTGTAGTAACGGTATCTGTCATGTTCAGGAATTAGCTCTTATAAAGCAGAGCTTGCATATCACAGAAGACCGGCTCTGCCTCACCTGGCCTCCCAAGGCTAGGCGAAGCAGGCAAGGCTTAAACACATCTAAATTTTAATTTTCTTTTGAGACAGCATCTCACTATGTAGCCCTGGCTGGGATGGAACTTGCTGTGTAGATCAGGCTGGTCTTGAACTCACAGAGCTCTGCCTGTTTCTGCCTCCTGAGTGCTGGGATTTAAGGCACGGTTTATGTTTTGAAGCAAAGACGAGGTTGCAAGGAGCGTTTGCTGGTGTTGGTCACTGGGGCATTTCCTTTATCCCAGCAGCACACAGAACTATGTCCTTGGCGACAGCCCTGCCCTCCATGTCCAGTGCAGTAGCGACCGTCTGCACCTTAGAACCTTGAAGAGGAGTGGGTTGTGACAGCTCAGATGTAGAAAAGCATAGCTTGGTCAGGGGCTGAAAAGAAGGCTGCTGTCTAGGACGACTCCAAGATTCCTTTTGACTGTTCCGCCCGTGTTGTCACCCAAGGCACAAAGAGGAACTAGGCCCCTTGCCCTTGTCCCCTAGCTAGGTCCTTAATAAATCCCGGCTCTCTATCTATGTTCTAAGTGTCTCTGTTCTGCTTTTACAGAGCCATGGCTCTCACCCACTCGCTCAGATTTTTACTCTTCCTTCTTGTTAGTGTTCGCCAGGGACTAGATCAGTATTTAGCATTCTCTCTGGAAACTGCTGAGGATCGCTGACTCATCTCAAGGGAGAGGGTGCTACTTCTGCTGTGCAGTTCTTTCCCAACTTGATCGCCTCCCTCCGTTCTCTCCCTTGGCCTCATTCGTCATCTCCATCCTTCTCCTTTCTGTCCTCCAAAGGAAATCGTGAATATTCCAAAACTGAGACGACACCACCAGAGTGAGGTGCAGTTTAAATGTGCCCTCTGTGAAGCTGGAGATGTAAGAGGGGTTGGCAGTCCTGAGCACTTTGCAGGAGTGCCATTCTGGGACCCTGGCCTGAGCTGGCGCTGATCTGTACTTAATCGTAGGTTCCAGCAAGGACGGACCACCTCCTGGAAATGGTATTATTTGAGCTGGTTGTTGAGCTTTAGGCAAGGTAAAAGTAGCAATATGTCCGTGGACAAATAGTGGTGGATTGAGGAGCAACAGCAAGCGTATTCCCAGTGGGTGTCGGGATCTGGGCTGAGAGTAAATTATGGTTCTAAACACAGGTGACAAGCAAGAACGCCGTCTGGCCCTTAGGCGTCAGACTGTTCTTACGATACAACCAGACGATGTTCTGGTATTTCTAAGAGTCCAAGCAGCAGGCTCCCAGCTTCCCATATGGACGGCAGCTACGTCTGGAGTCTGTTCGACAGTTTCACCCACTTGGATGCCTGCCACTTGCTCCTCGGGTTGGTTTCTTCCAGTTTTCGTTTTGTCAAACTGGGAGATATTCTTGGTAACTCATAGCTTCCCCCGCTAAATGCCCAGGTTTGAAAAGGTTCCTTAGAGGAAGGGTGGCAAGGGAGGGTAAGAAGCATGTCATGGTCACTGAGGAACGTTCCCAATAAAGGCCATAATGAGTAAACTCCACTGCGGCAGGGCAGCCGAATAAACATCTTGTTGGCAGGTGACCAACAGAGGTTCTTCACACAACTAGTTGATGTCCTGTCCTGAACGATGCTTGGATGATCGATAGGACCGACTGCAAATAACTTCTTTTAGAACTAGGCCGCAAGTTAGGGCTGCCATACAGCTACATATGATGCTTTGACTGCACCCTGAAGACATCCTTGGGAATGTGAGAGTACTTTGGTGGATCTGGTATTCATCCTAATTAATGATGCAGAGTTCAGTACTATACACTGTCCTGTGAGTCAGGGATAGTCCTAGGATCTAGCTATCTATCCATGCCTTGGCTCAATGCCTCTGTTGGAACCGAGGCTGGTTGGCTCCAGTGTTTTCAGTTGAAGAATACAGACTCAGCAACTCCTTGTAGCCTGGCTTCTAGACGAAGGGTTGGTTTCAGGTTCTTGGGTCATAGAGATGACAGCATCCAATACATTGTTTCCAGTTGTCTCGGTATGCTGGTTACAAACAGTAATACCACATACTGTTACTGTACAGGAACAGGATGAGAGAAAATGCTATGGGATTGTACTTAATACTCCTGAAATGCCTGGCTGGCCCACCAGTTATGAGTGTTAGCTTGTTGTGTTCTTCTTTTCCTTTTTTTTTTTTCTTTTTTTGTTTCTCGAAACAGGGTTTCTCTGTAGCTTTGGAGTCTGTCCTGGGACTAGCTCTTGTAGCCCAGGCTGGCCTCAAACTCCCGAGTACTGGTATTAAAGGCATGCCCCACCACCGCCCGGCTAGCTTGCTGTGCTAACACGTGAGAACCAGAGTTCCTATCCTCCTATCCTCACACCAACGAAAAGGGCTAGGTGTAGCCCCAAGCATACCTGTAACTCCAACACTGAGGGGACAAAAATAGGGGTCACCGATACTTGCTGACTGCAATCCTAGTTAAAAAGTGGGATCTCCAAGTTCAGCAAGACACCCTGCCTCAAAGGAATAAGGTAAAGAGAGGACATCCAGTGTCCTCCTTTGACTTCTATGTGAGCACGGGAATGCTCATTTGCACATACATGTACACACATCATATACATATAGACCACATATATGAACACAAATGATTTTTTAATTTGAAAAGTGAGGGGACTTAATCAGTTAAGAGCACTGGCTGCTCTTCCAGAGGACCTGGGTTCAATTCCCCGCACCCAGATGGTAGCTCACAACTATCCGTAACTCCATTTTTAGGGGATCTGACACCCTCACACAGACATATATGTACAGGCAGAACACTAATGCACATAAAATTAAAAATAAACAAATCATGCCATCTGCAAGGTCATATCAAATTGTAGTTCAAATCCTTGAAATTGGCTTGGGCATATTAAGATAATGCTGAAGTATGTCTGGAGGGCTGTCTTGTACTTACTGTCTTCCCTGATGCAAGGTAATTATCTACGCTTTGGGAGGAAGTGGACATGAGCCCAGGGAACCAGATCCTCAAGGTATGTTTGCCATGTTTGCCAATTCTTTGCCTTTGCATCTTCAATGGCGTGCCTGCTGATTCTGAGTATGGGAAAGCAGATGGGGCACGATCAGGGACTTAGTGCTTCAGACTACTTAAGTAAAGTGGATTTTCTGGAGATAAAGATTGCTAATACTAATGCACTCCACACGGCACTAGAAAGTAGGAGACAGAGACACGGAGAAGTTCAGTCATTTGCCTGAGGTCCCAGACTCATGCATGGCAGAAACATGAATTTAACCGAGTAGTTTCCAGGGACCTGACTCTTTCTGACCATACACAACCACTCCTTGAAATAGCTCCATCGAGGCTTCCGGAAGAGATGGAGAACTTGGACGGGAAGCATCAGTCCCTTTATAGATGTGCACAGCTGGGTGGGAGGTTTCGGCAAGCGTGTTTGCTCACCTGGACCGGACTTGAGTTGGAGAGGGGATATGGTATCATTGCCTTGACTCAGAGGGAGAGCCCAAGGTTGCTGAGCTTTTCTGAATGTAGGATGTAATTTCCTAAAGTCAGCATTGGAAACAGCAAGAACTGGGTCACTCTCTCAGTGACTTGGAGCAGCCGACTGGGGAAGAAAAGTGAGGAAAGACCCCTATAGATCTGCTGTCTATAGACAGCCATTAGTGTGGAAATGGGCCTACTCTGGAGGCTTCAATCCTGCTTGAGTAGTGTGAACATCTCCCCGTCTAGTTTCCTGGGGTTGAAATATAGTGGCCCATATCAGTTACAAGTATGCATAGGTTTCACGATACAGTTCCATACAGTTAGTTGTCTGATATGTTACAAAAGCAGAGAGTCTCTGGCCAAGTTCTTGGCTGAACTGTGCCATCCATACACGCTCCTGTTTGGCAAGCTAGACCTGCAGCGCCCTCTGCTGGAGCACACAGGTGGCATAGCTTGTCTCCCGGTGTAGTTTGTTACCAACCTGGCTCTGAGAGATCAAGAAACCTAGAGGATTATGAGCAGAGGACATTGCAGGCAAGATTAGGAAAGCCTCTCCCTCCCTCCTCTCTCTCTCTCCCTCTCTCTCTCTCTCCCTCTCCCCCTCTCTCTCTCTCTCTCTCTCTCTCTCTGTGTGTGTGTGTGTGTGTTGGGTGTTGGTGTTAGTTCTTGCCTTACACCTTGTTAGAGACAAGGCATCTCTTGTTCACCTCTGCATACACAGGCTGACTGAACCACGTGCTGCCACAGATTCTCCTGTCTCTGCGATAGGAGTGCTCACGGACTACGCCAGACTTTTGTGTGAGTTCAGGGACTCATACAAAACTCAGGTTGTTAGGTTTTCCTTACAAGCGCTTTACCCGCCAAGTTATTTCCTCAGTCCGTTTATATGCTACATGTAAATAATTAAGTTC